AAAAGGAACCCCCCCCTCCAAGCTGTACCCCTCCTCATGAAGCTGTAACAATACGTGTCTTAGTCCGAACGCTGGGTTACCGTTAATGGGAACACCCATAGGAGGTTGAGTGACGGAGTGAGTGAAGGCTCCAGGGAAGTGAGGTAACACATGCTCCAAAGGGTCGATATCTTGAATGGGGGTAGATGTATTGAAGGGAATAGATCGCCATTCCTGGGTAACATCACGGGAGGAGCGTTGGATTACATCGTTGCTGTAGACCACGTATTCCTGGGGGTTATCGCTGTATCCTTCTGATGCCGTGATATACTCGCTAACATTAGCAAGGAGTTGTAGATTCGTGGGATACTCGAGGCTGCCATTGTCGGAGGCATCAGAGGCGAGAGGTGGCATACTAGGGGAGTTGGTGGAAGGGGCGATGGGACTGTCAGGATTTTGGGAGGACGATATGGTCATATTTGACAAGGGTGGGAAAACCTGTGTAGGTGCAACGTGGTAGGAACCGGTGGAAGCTTCCGAGGTATTGTTAGGGATTTCCAGAGGCCCAGGAAACTGATGAAGGACCACAGCGTCACTGTTGGAAGATTCCGGGGGACCTGGGATGAGAAAGGGGTGTCGAGTAGCGTTTGGCAGTGGGGTAGTAAAAGGATAGCAAAACCCTCCTTCACTAAGAAATTCCATTGAAGAGTCCTCAGAACCAGATTGGGAAGGAAAACTTAGGATAGGTTGTATAGGGGTTGGCATTTCTATTATCCCAGCAGTGAAACACTCTTCTAGTGTCTGGAGGTGGGAAGGGTAAGGGGTTGGCGCTCTTTGGGGACCAGTCGTAGGAGTCTTTGGGTTCCGAATAGGAGCCAGAGGCCTACGCAGAGATGGTTGATTCGCATCGTTAGTTCTGGAGCGAGTGTTGCGCTCAGCAGGCATGGGGAATATCCAGGAAAGGAGGTGTTTTTGAAAAGCTAGACAGAAAATACAAAAGGAACCAACTACTACAGACAAGACAAGGCCCCAGTTACTAATCCCTATTCTCCCTGATGTACTCAAAGTATACTTGAGTTGGGCTGTTGCTGTTGCGGTTGGCAGCAATGACG